AACAGGGACAACAGTTCATATTTCTATAAGGAAGGCAAAAAGAGCCAGTTAATTATCATGATTACAGTGGCTATGTTCATACAACTTATTAATCTATGGTTAGGTGAGCTACAGTTTAAATTAATCCAGCTGTCTGACTTTGAAGAACTCTCAGAACTATAAACTTATCGTACAGGTTTATTTCCAACAAACATAAAACCACAAACTAGCCAACCATTATTTTAGCCACTTGTAATATACAAACTTCTCCAAAATAAAACCAGGGAAATCTAGGCTGAATTTCCCATCCAGCCACAAACTTTACTGAATATATCCACACAACACAACTAATGAAGGCAGGTACAAATGTAGCAGTTCATTTGCATGATGTACAAATATCAGTTTTAATTTGAGGTTCAGCTTTTGAGAATTGCTAATTTACTGGTTATGATTCAGAATGTCTGAACCCAAGTCAATGCTACCGTAGTCAAATATCATGATTCAGCAAACCACACTATGAACTACATAGCTAATTTCATTGCTATTTTATGAAAGCTAAGTATTAGTAGCTTGGTCTATCAATCATGATAATTGATCGTATATCACAACTGATAAGGTTTGATAGAATAATATTTCTTTGCTAGTGCATGAACCAAGGTTATATGTTTCAGGGATAATAACTGCTTACTGTTTTAAATTTCAGAGCTATAACCCCCCAAGATTATGCTTTTACATAAAAAGAATGTGTGACTTTGATCTTGTACACAAGCCAACAGTTATTGGCTGGCGATCATTACAGTGTGCAATTAGTGAACCAGTCAATTGATTGGACTTATAGATGCTGTGTAGAGTTTAGGTGTCAAACCTTTTGGCTTGCCTGGGCTGCACTGAGTGAAGAGGAATTGACTTGGGCCACATATAAAATATATAATATAGTTAATGTATATAATCATCATCATCCTGCAATAACACCAGCGGAACTGCAAAAAACTGTGCTACTTGGAACATCGTACATCTTAAGAAGGTACTGGCAGCAACCCGTATCAACCATTAGCACCAGTCAATGGTATTTGTGATGCATTTTTGAATGTTTAGTTGACTAAGTTTCATGTTTAATGAATAAAGTAAATAATAATAATAATAATAATAATAATAATAATAATAATAATAATAATAATACCACCACTGGGAACATCAGGTTGAGAAAGTTTTAGAGAATGAAAAACTCAAGATCTTGTGGGACTTTAGGATTCAGACTGACAGGCACTTGGTCCACAACACACCTGACGTAACAATAGTTGAAAAGAAAAAAAGTATGGTTCATTGACATTGCAATACCTGGTGATGCATGGATTGAAGATAAGCAGCAAGAAAAAATCACAAAGTACCGGGATTTTCAAATTGAAGTTGAGCGACTGTGGAAAAAGAAATCGTGTGTTGTCCCAATTGTAATTGGAGCCCTTGGAGCAATACCCAAAGGGCTACCCCGCTATTTAGAAATTCTAAATTTGCCGGACTTGAACATTTTGACTCTACAAAAAACCACCTTACTCGGAACAGCTTACATCCTCCGACGATACCTTAACAGTTCCTAGGTCCTTGGTTAGGACTCGAGCTGCTGAGCTATTAACCAGCCTCAAAGGCTGTGAATCTCACTAAAGATTAACTAATAATAATAATAATAATAATAATAATAATAATAGTTATTGTGGGGCCACTTACTAGCTGTCCAGGGCCGCATGGGGCACGCAGGACATGGGTGGGACACACCTGTTGTGGACCATCTATTAGGATCTAAAACAAGTTGAAACTGTGAGCAAATGGCCCCAACCTCTATAAATAGCATCACTAGCCTGAATTTAATTTAAATTTAATTTTAACAATTTTAATTTAAATTGTTTAATTTTTTTATAAACTTTCTTCAGTACACAAAATTATGCTTGGCAATATTGATGGAAATAGAAGGGGGAGACAACTGATAAAGTGGGTGGATGCAATGTCTTTGGAAAAGCAAAGTGGTATTACAAAGGATAGGTCAGGGTGGCCAGCATTTATCTATGCAGTTACTATGAGTCAAAACCAGCTCCTAGCTAAACAAACAAACAAAAAAATGTTTATAAAAAGAGAGAAAATACAATGTAGCCTACATGATAAAGTTTGGCCCTGGTTTATGCTCCTTTCCGAAATCTTGGAACGGAAAAAAACAAAACAAGGATGCTTTTAAAATGGAAAATACCCAGGATCTTAATAATCATTTTATCCACCAAAGGAAAACTGTTTTCAAAAACCACGGCAAGGCCCAGAAGGTAATTATCTCATAACGCAACACACTCCCTCCCCAAGCCCCTTCTTTATTCTTTAGGAGCTATAGCAAGTCCAAACATCCACACGTGCCTTCAGCCTTCTGTACCCTCCACCTGGCCAGCGTTTGCTGACTGGCCCTCCTCCACCTCACTTCTGACTTGCCATTTGTGCATTTGATGTCTTTGCTCCAAGGATGCAAAGGGGATGGATCAGCACAATTGTGCCCTTATTTGAAAATAGAGGTCTTTGAGGCTTTAAAAAAAGAAGAAGCAGCAGGCAGCAATTTTTCTCGTCTTCATTCAGACCCTCTAAAAAGGAAGGAGGAAGGGAAGCACCTTGTGCAGAGGCATGTCACTTCACCTGGCTATTGCAAGACAGATGACTATCTGGGGTGACCTCTTGTCAGGCAACTTTTCCCTCCTTTCAAAAGGTTAGCATTTGGAAGGCCCTAAGCGGTTCCCTGGAGCTATAGAAGGGATTTCTGCAGCAGCAGGAATTATGTCCATGAATTTAATTGGAAAATAAAGAGATCTACAGGTAAGATTCCCCAAAGGAAGACTGAATAAACAAATTGTGCCACATCCTGGTTTGCATATTCATAACTGCTGGATTCACGGCAAACACCATAAATTATCAATCCTCGTTATGGCTCAGCATGATGTGAAACTCCAGCCACAGAGGACTCTGGCTCCAGTGGAGAAGCCAGCTCAAAAGACATCTGGCAGGTTGCTTAGAATCATAAACTGTGGAAGACCCCTGTTCCCATCTTCTGAGGACATAAACCTGATCCAAAGCAGCACAGAATCAAGTTTCACAACAAGAAGAGCAAAGAAGGCACCAACCAAAAGTGGGGGGGGGGGAGAGGGAGAGCGGGAGACAGCTCACTAGCCAAGCCGATGAGCTTCAGGTTTCACTTTTTTCCCTTCCTGGGTGACATAAAACCTGAGGAAATAATTAACGCTGTCAAACAAAATGAGTGGGAAACAGTTTCCTCACAATCTCCAAACACAAAGAAACAGGTCAAAGAATAGGATTTTTTAAAAATTTATTAAATAAATAAATCCCTTTTTATGTAAGGGATGCTGGATCTACACAGCAAGAAACAGAATTTTTCACCTCTGTTTAGGAGAAGATAGGCTGAAGACCTAGAGAAAAGGCCTTCCTTCTGTCAAAGACCCAAAATACTAGGCTGGACATACAGCAGGGAATAAGGCTACGTTGCAGAGCGTGGCAATGAGGTGCTTGGGAAAAGTACCAGGGGGTACAAAGTTTTTAATTTTTGCAGAAAGTGGACAAATCTTGGACAAAAGCACTAGACCCAAGAAGATCTGAGCTACAAAGAACTCTTGAGGATTAGGGAAAGAAAGGTTTGAGAAAGTCTGGGGAAGCTATGCCCCCAGGCACAGATTTTTTTTTTTAGATTACAAGGAGAAACCAGAGCTGAAAAATGGGGGGGGGGGGGAGGAGATCTTGGAGACACATTGTGAGAGAAGATGGGGAGAAAAGTATGCCTAAAGGATCAAACAACCTTTTAGTCTGCAGTCAACAATCCCTTCCTTGAATCCAGCAACTAAGAAGCAGAAACGTGGAGAAGAAAAGAAAAGCCAAGGTTGCTGGGAGTGGGAGAGTGGAAAGAAAGGGGCTGCTGAAGGTAAGCGCCATATTTGTTAGGAATGAAAGCCAGGCAAGGACAGAGGGCAGGGGAGGGAGGAAGAGGGGAGAAAGGCAGACAAGAGGGGAGGGAAACAGGAAGAGCAAGAAAGAGCAAGGTGTTAGATTGAGGCAAATTGCTCTGGTGAGAATGAAACAAAGCCAGACCAGGAGGTTAGAAAGCAGCAGGGCAGAAGGCTGGGAGGCCTAGGAATTGAGGCCCAAAGATAAGAGTTTGAGAAAGCAGCAGCAGAAGCAAACCAGGTGCCTTCCTTGGAGCCATGTTTTTTTTTTTAAAAAAAAAAATCTTTGCCAGGGCCCCAAATTCCAAAGGTAGCCTTGAGGAGTGCACTATTTGTACTCCAGCCAACAATACAGGAAGGCGGATCGTAATGATGTCCTGCACTGCAGGGATGTTGTGAGGTTTACCAAGAATATATAAGGAAGCACTTTGCAATCTGGACCCAGATGGCAGAGGAAGAGATGGCATAAGCAAAGGAGGATTATCCCTCCAAGGAAAGGCAGAAGTCAAGAGGTAGAGAAGGTACCAGAAGAAATGGAAGGGGATATAAACCAAAGGGAAGTGTGGAATTTACTAAACTCAGAAGAGGATGAGGCTCATGCCCAGACTCACTATATGACACTGTCTATCTGCTAACCCTGCTGGTCATTTCAGACCCTGCTGGCTTTTAATAAGGCCTTAAAACTTGGCCGTTCCTCCAGGAGATTAAGTGGACCCTGAGATCGATTTGTCCAATGTAGCAGTGGAATGATTTTAGATCTCCTACATATGGTACATTCATTGCTTCTGTTATTTTACACTGGTCTGTTTTTAACCTTCAGTCCGCTGCCTGGAGTCATTGTTGGGGAGGGGTGGGGGGGGAGGACAGAATCTGCTTAAACATTTAAAGCTTATTTGAACAGAGATTCTGAACATGTGCAGAGAGCTTCCTTTCTCGAAGGAATTTTCTCCAGAAACATAAGTTGCTCTGCTTCCCGCCATGCACACACACCCCACACCCCCGTCCGCTCTCGTGGGGGGGGGGGAGCCGTTCCCGCGAACTCACCTTTTGGACTGGGGCTCCGCGGGGTTGCGATCCCGTTGCCGCCGGTTTTTGAACCAGTTGCTGACCTGCGTGAGGGAGAGGCCGGTGATCTTGGCCAAGTTGCGCTTCTCGGCCGGGGAAGGGTAGCGGTTCTGCTTGTAGAGCTCCTTGAGGGCATTGCGCGACTTCTCCTTAAAACAGTAGACCGTCTCCTCGCCGTCCCAGATGGTGCGGGGCAGCGGGAACTTCCTGCGCAGGCGGTACTTGTCGACGGCGCCCAGGGGTCGGCCGCGGGCCCTCTCCGCCTCGGTGTAGCGCGCCTTGTACCAGAGTTCCTGCAGGAGAGGGTGGTTGGCGGCGTCGAAGCTGTGGCTTTCCAAAATCCCGTAGAGCTCGGCGTAGAGGCCCTGGTGGAAAGCCACCAACGCCCGGGCTTTCAGCAGGCTCTCGTTGCCACGTAGCAGGTCGCTCTGGGGCAGGGACCACAAGAACCGGGCCAGGCGGTCTAGGTTCCCGCCTTGCTGCAAAGCCTCGCAGACGCAAGCGACGTGGTCCGGGGAGAAAGCCAGCAGAGCCTGGGGCGACGAGGACGCCGACCGAGGCGAAGGCGACGACAAGGGAGACGAGGCGGCCACGGCGCCGGGATTCCGCACCAAAAGTTCCGAATGGAGTAGAACTTGACCCGCAACCCTACCGGCTGCTGCTTCCTCCTCCTCCTCCTCCTCGTCCTCCTCCTCTTCCCCGGCTTCTTCCTTCCTAGCAAAAGGAGCCGCAGCCGCCGCCGCGAGACCAGAAGGCGGTGCAGACGTGGGAGCCGAGCCGCCCGAGGTTACCTTCGCCCCGCCGCAGAACATTTCCAGGACGTTTTCTTGCTTGATCGTCGCCACCACGCTGGGAATCGCGGTGGTGGGAGAGGCAGAAGACATCTTCCCCCCACCCGGTCTGGGTTTGGTGTTAGGTGGAGGGGCTTCTCCCCCGGCTTTCTCCCCCCCTTTTTTTTTCCTCTTTTCCACCCCCCCCCCTCCACGGAAAGTGCTCACACACCCCTCCTGCTGCTCCTGCTCCTCCTCCTCCTCCCGGACCGCCACCAGGCTGGCGTTTAGCTGATCAAGTTTCCCCTCCGCCACGTAGTAACCATTAAGACAGCTTGTTCGAGCAAAGCTCGTGTAAACGGATCGCAGTTTCTTCTCCCCCTTCCCCCCCCTCCCCACCAGCCGCTCTCCTCTCCCCCTCCTTTTCGTTCTTTCTTTCGTTCCTTCTTTCCCTCCCCAACGTGACTCCTCAGCGCTTCTCTCTCTGCTGCTACATATTCTTAATAGCACAGGCAGTCGGCTGGATTCGGGAGGGCTCGCTGATTGGCCGACTCCTGTGGGGGGGGGTGGGCGGAGGATCCGGTGTTTCTATAGAAACCGTCAATCAACTCCTCCCTCTCCCTCGGCTTTACGCTCAACACGACTTCCTCCTCTAAAATGTGAAATACCTCTACCTGGAGGCTTCTTGCTGCGTTTTGATTTGGCTCCGCGCTCTCTCGTTTCTCCCCGCTCCAGTTGCCAAACAAAATATTACGACTGATACCTTACTTAAGCTCGTTGGGTGGGCAATTTTGTTTTTACGCTTTGTAGGAGAGACATTCAAATTCATTCAAATTCCCAACTTTTTGGGAATTTCCAAATGAATTAACTCTACTCAGGTTGGGCACTTCGGAATGGAGTAGGGAGAGAGCAACTTCAGGTTGAACCAGAAACACGATATATACGTGTTAGGGTAATCAGCGGATTAAGGCTGCAACGCTGGTACTGAGTTTCAATTAACCCACTGGGACTTGGAGAAGTTTGAAAGTTTGAACGAGTTTACTTTGGAGAGAAGCCAGCTCGATTTATTCACGCTATGATTGCAATCATTTGCATACTTGTCTGAGTTCAGTGGAACATCAGATTGGACTGCAGCCTTAAGCACGCACTCTTATCTTGGATTAAACTTTACTGAACTCAGTGGGACTTTTCATTTGCAAATGCCTAGACTTGATCTGTTGCTTTTGTTATTTAAACAAAAAAGGATTCTCCACCCCCCAAGACGTTTTTGGCAGATAACATCCAGATGTGTCAGCTTAGCTTCAGTACTAAAAGACAAGAATCCTAACTGGAAGGAAGGAACTGAATTCGTTGGGATTTATCTCTAATTACTTTGCATTTGTGCTTAGGATTCCAATGCAGTTTTTAAAAAGTATTCATTTCCATAACAGTTGTATGAAGAAATGTGATTGGTATATACCCATTTTACAGATGGCAACTGATGGTGGAGAAAGATTTGTCAAGGGTAGTTGCTTTTTCTGCACTTTTTTTTTTTAAACTTTAGAGCAGGCTTAACTGGCTACTGGTATTAACTTTTCCTTAGATGCAGATTCTTCTGAGTTCAGTTATGCTTACTTCCAGGTCAGCATTTGAAAGAATTATAACTTTCATTTCTCATAAATATTGTTTGTAGTTTATAGGTCCAGAGCTACAGGAGTTCAATCTTTTTACATTCTTCTACCCCAATCCCTTTAATTGTTTTGTAGGCAAAGAAACTGAAGGCCCTCCAATTATAAATTCCAATATTGCCCATGATGTACAGGGCCTAGAACAAAGTTGGCATTAAACAAGTATAGGTGATAGATAGCTACATACTATATGAGTGAATGATAAAGAAATAATCAAGTATGAACAAAAGCATGTTCTGATATATTGAAGCAGTAACTTGCTACAGAATAAATAGATTCCAAAGAGTGGTAGGATAGATCAACTTTCCACAGCTGGTTTTCTGGATAAACATTCCCATAATTCTGGGTGAGAACTGAAATCCAATACACCTAGAAGGCTCATGGGTATAAAAGGTGTAGGGTTGCTGGACTGTTTTAAATATTTTATATACAGACATCTAAATACACAATTAAAACCAAATGACAGTAACAAATCAATAAGATTGAGCACAATGTAGTTAAAATACAAACACTTTGTGATTGGATTCACAGAACACACTTAACTAGGGTGCGTAAAGACAAATCACTCCAAAGTAATGAATTTGGCTGGGATTGGGGTTTTGGTGCTTTATAGTATGCAAACTCAGCCCAGTTAGTTAGTGCATGGTTTGGTGTGTTGTACCAAACTTCCAAAACAGGATATAGTAACAAAAATAAGCCTATTGAACTACATAGCCATATGCATGTTTATTCAGATCAGGTCCTGTTCAGTTTAACATTTATTTCTAAAGGGAATGTACAAGAGATTAGAGTCAAAAAGTATCATTGATACAGTCTATTCAGAGTGACTGAATAGTCACTCCTACACCCAAGGTACATGTGCACAGGGTTGCAGTCCAATTGGAAATAGAGCTCAAGTAATATAATGGCACTTCTGACTAGACAAGTCAAGAAGGTAAACATTGTCAAAATGCTTAGCTTGGGTGGTTAGCTTTGGCAGTCTCTGTTTTTCCAGGAAATTATCAATTACACTTTACTGTAAATTTCATCATTAAGTCACAAAAGCAAACATTTCACCATTCAGTAGAATCAGCAACTAGTGGTAAAATCCTAATTGCTCTTCTAGGAAGGAGCAAGAAGACAATGACAGATGGGAAACATATAAACAAAGATTGTCTTGATACCAGAAAGAGGACTTCAGAGCAGCCTGGGCATTGCTGTCTGAGAATGATGAGAATGTAATTCCAGCTTTCTGGAGGGTGCTTGGTTGAGAAGGGCAACTTGTAGAGTAGGATGAGCTGAAACTATTGTTAATTTTACTAAACTCTCTGGGCTCGATTCTCAGAATATTTCTTAATTCTGAACTGAGTAATGCTAAGGATGTTGGTTTGAGAATAAATTCTCCTGAATTTAGTGGATTTTAGGCTGAAATCTTGCCAAGTTCTTTGGAATAAGCTTACTTTGGCTCTCCTGATGCTAGCCTGCCTGCACTTTACCAAAAGTTTGTCTACCTTCAGTGGAATTACAGCTCACTTTTATATAGATTTGCTCACTGGGAAGTCCCACCGATTTCAAGATTTGCAAACACAGATCAATGTATTTAAGCTTTCAGCCTTACCCATTAACAAAGTTTCCAAGCTTGCTGTTTTCTACATAGTCTGGTCAATGGACATTTTTCAGCTGCTGTACTGTAGCGATTTTTGACTATGGATCATGGCCTATATGGTTCAATACATCAGGAAGGTACCAGCCTGAGGAAGACAGAAAATGGAGATTGAGTCTACATTACAAGAGTGTAATTGTAGCGCTATTTACTTAGGTGTAAATCCAATTAAATCCATTGGATTTACTTCTGAGTAGGTGCAGGCGAGGTCTGATCCATCCAGAAGATGTTCTTGACATATTTCTACAGGAACAACAGAAAATGAAAAGTCTGACACAGATTGTTTTTTTCATGGGTTCTTTCCTATGGCGCTATTTCTGCAATCTTTATACGACAACAAGCATTATCTTGTATTAGAACATTTAGGAAGACCTATATTTAGTCCACCTCAGCTTCACAGACTAAGACATGGGAATCAATAGATACAAATCTTCCTTTTCCATTGTTGGAATAGGCAACAATATTCCACAAGTGACACTACTGTATGCCATATGAGGGCACATCCCATTTAAGTTAGTGGGACTTGCCTCTTGGGAAACATCACAACACACACATTGGAGAATGCCATGTTAAGGTATGTTTATTTCAAAGCAACTTTTTAGATCCAAGTTATCAATTTCCTGGTTGGTATTGAGGGGGGGGGTTCTTAATCTGCCATATCTGGTTTAATGCAGGTGTTTTGAGCATAGCTGCCAAGTCAAACAACTTTTGCAGCTCTTCAGAAGGGCAATAATTTGAACTGGGACTTCAGAGTCTTTACTGATTTATAAGTCTCAGGTCAGACCTGGCATTTTCTCAATTTAGGTAGAATTATAGATTGGATTGTATTTATAAGCTGCCCAGAGTCTCTTAGGAGTGAGCCGGGTGGCAATAAATTTAATAATTATTTTCCACACCGCGCTCATGAAGTTTTAGGAAATCTGAATGAAGATGGAAAAGCTTTGAAATTTATCTCTCTCTGTAAATAGAAACTCTTTCTTTCAAGGGTGACCCTGGTGGGTTGAATCCATTATGGGGGTTTAACAAGCTGCATTTGCACTTCTCAATTGACTTTGGAGACGGTCTCCGCAATCGGGCTTTGTTGTGGTGAGGCAATAGGGATAGGAAGCCCAGTCCCATTGCCCACCTCCTGATCAGAAAGGGATCACCTTCACACGAGCTGGGTTTTTCTGGACACCGGGCTCAATCTTAGCCTGCCTTCGCCTTACACGTTGATGGTTTAATCAGTCCCAGATCACATGTTATGATAACGGTCGGGATCACAGCAACACCTGGTCTAAAATGAAGTGTGGTTGGTTTGCGGTTCAATGGAAACATCCCACTTTTGGCTACAAACCAGTTCAGAAGAAGGCTGTTGTGATGATGATCTGCCTATTCCAGGGTTCTTTGTACTTACGTCCTACATAACATGCAAGCCTCTCATTAGTAATACCTCTGTAACTTGACCGGAGTGATCTTCTAACCTGCCTGGAGAGGTCTCTGCCAGCACGGCTGATTCTCATTGGACCAGGAAAACAAAATTAAATCCGAGTTAGTGGCTTTGGGTAAAACCCCCTTTTACATAACCGAGTTTAGAGCAGAATGATCGCTCAGAAGCAACCGGGACTGACTGAGACGGGTTTCCTTTTCCACACGGCTGGCTCTGGGGATGCTGAATGGAAATTGATGGAGGGGTAGTAGAATGGCTCAGTCATTGTCAAGTCATTTGCAGGCAGCCGAATGCCCGGTTTACATCTGGGAAAGTAGATCTGGGAATCCCCAGGCAAATGCAGACAAGGTAGACGGAACCACCGACTTGTTACTTAGGCATACGCCCTACGCCCCCCCCCCCCCCCCCCCCCCCCCCCCGGGCTTCCAGCCTTAAGGAAATGAAAGCAGAGCCGCTTTTGGTCTGCTGGAACAGCGGCTGGAACTCCTCAGGGTACTGGAATCTGCCCACCAGAGGGGCAGCTGGTAGGGAGCTGCTATCCAGTACATACTGAGTTAGAGTAAGCCCTAAATAGCAGCAAGGAAATACAGATAACTTTGCTGCCTCTTTCAGCGGCCATCCGGAGTTTTGGAACCGAGTGCAGCAGCGCAATTTACGTGGTTAGTTTTTGTACAGACGCAAGTCTGGGCATCGGAACAACTGTGGTAAGGGAGACGGAGCGGGGAGGGGGATGGGTATCTGAAGCTAGAAATCTACATTCGCCTCGGTCCCGGAACGCGTCCACTCGAATTTACCCCGAACAGGCACTGACTGACAGAATCGCAACCAGTACGATTCTCTTAGAGCTAGGCAGCCCTAGACCATAATAGTCGACAATGACTTGGATGTCGGTGCGATGGAAAGCTGTCTCTAAACTTTTATTTATATTTATATGTGTGTTGTATACACAAATACATATACACATACATATGTGTACATATATACACATACATAGACACACATGCCCATATATGCACACACTTGTATATGTATATGTTTGTATATGTATGTATGTATATGTATACACACACACAGGATAATTTCAGCATACTGTCATGGAGGTCATCTTGACTTTGTTGACTAGATCCCTACTTTATCAAATCAAGTTATATGTCTGTACATCGTCCTGATGTCAAGACAATTGGTTAGTTTCACCGAAATCTGCTAAACCCAAAGCAAACAAACCTCTACAATGTAGAGTCCACATTGTGCATCATTCCATATGAATCCAAGCTTATTCTACAGTCAGAGTGCAATGTGATGTCAGAAACCACCCCATAAATTGAAAAAGAAAACTCAAATTAGATAGTCAATGAGTGTAAGTGGGTAGACTTTTCAATCAGATTTATTTCAATGCAAACTGATGGGCCGTAAGACCCTTTCCTTTTAAGAAGAGTTCCAGAATCTTGGAATGAGTTAGACTTAATGCGGTGGATGACCCTTTTACTCAATGGCCGCAAGCACATCTATACACCAATCTTCCATTCGCCTGACCTCAAAGAGAGACTCACAGCTGTATTAACTAATTCTGGGGTTTCAGAGATATACGCTTGGGCAGTGAGAATCTTCACTCAGAAACTGCCAGGAATCCCCGCCCTCAATCAAGCTGCACTATTTAGCGATGACATGATAGCAGAATTCCAGTATTTGAGGGGCTGCCACAAAGAAGAGGGGGTCAAATCAGTGGTGAAATCCAAATTTTTTTACTATCGGTTTTGTGGACGTGGCTTGGTGGGCGTGACAGAGGAAGGATACTGCAAAATCTCCATTCCCACCCCACTCCAGGGGAAGGATACTGCAAAATCTCCATTCTCACCCCACTCCAGGGGAAGGATGCTGCAAAATCTCCATTCCCACCCCACTGGGGCCAGCCAGAGGTGGTATTTGCCGGTTCTCTGAAGTACTCAAAATTTCCACTACCGGTTGTCCAGAACCTGTCAGAACCTGCTGGATTTCACTCCTGGGTCAAATTATTCTCCAAAGCACTGGATGGCAGAACAAGAAACAATGGTTGGAAACTAATCAAAGAGAGAAGCAATCTGGAATTAAGGAAAAACTTCCTAACAGTGAGGACTGTTTCCTTCAGAAATCGTGGCAGTTTTTAAGAAGAGATTAGACAGTCAGTTGTCTGAAATGGTATAGGTTCTTCTGCTTGAGTAGGGGACTGGACTAGAAGACCTCCAAGGTCCCTTCCAGCTCTCTTCTATTTTATGTGTCCCTCAAAAAGGTAGGTAAGGCATCTTTTGCTGCAAATAATGGGATATGAATATGAGGTCAATTCCTTTTCTTTTTCATCACCATCACTTGCACATCACCAGCATCTGGATACTTCCCTTGCTCGAAAATAAATGCCAATGTCATTACCAATTTCATTCAGTCTTCCAAGCCAAAAAACTGATAGACTAGCAGCTTGATTCCTATATACCAGTAGGTTTCCTCAGAAATAAATTTGAGCTAGGACAAATGGTCAGTTTCATTTAATCCCAGATAAACTCACACGAAGGAACCTTGGGTCTCGTTCTTTATGCATAGTTATTGAATATTTATGTGCCTCTCTTCCAGTAAGATTTCGTAAAACGGTATTAAATGAAGCAAGAAGTTTGCTTTTGAGTGGTGCTGACAAATCTAATGCAACTTTTCTTGAATATTTACTTCGACTGCGAGTGTCAGCAAAACTGGTTTCCAATACGATCCTTGAGAGCCACCCTAGATCACAATAGCCGAAAACGATTTAGGTAAATGCTATTGAAATCGACAGGCTATGTTTACCTACAGGACCTACAGTATTATGCAAAATGGAACGAAGTGGTTAGGAACCTATCAACACGCTTCAGGTTTAATTCAGAGACATTTGTGGGGGGGGGATAAATACTATTCAATGCAATGCTTCCTAATAATTTTATGCATAGGATCCTGGAAGGATGCGATCCAATGCTCACCCACTGAAAACACTGAGGCTTCACTTTGGGGTGATATATATCCAATTGGGGAGCACATTGCACTGTTATTTTATGGCTCTCCTATTGCTGTTGCGGCTGCTGCCTCTAGTAGTTCCTGCAAGCCCCACGGGAAAGGAATCGTCTCGTCTGAATTGATGTTAGCTCTAGTTTTTGTAAGCGTTGAAGCTATTTTTTAAAAAATGAAATAAATCCACCGGATGAATAGAACTTACTTCCGAGTAAGCACGGATAACAGTGTTTCACATTGCGCTTAAATACCTCCTGAAGAAATTCGCTTCAATTCTGCCCTCCCGGGTTTTCACCCGCTCCCCTTTTTCAAAGCACACGCAAAGTAATTAGTAATTAAGCAAAGGGCGTAAGACGTTTTTCCCTGTTGCACAGCGGAACGATTCTTCCCTCGCCGGAGAGCCAGACGGCCGCTTTTAAAGGACGGACGCCGTGTTCCTGGAATGAGGGTGGCAGCGGCTCCGGCGGCAAATTTAGTCGAAAGGTGGTCACCATGGACGACCAAGGTTGTCCCCGGTGCAAGACCACCAAATACAGGAACCCTTCCCTCAAGCTGATGGTCAACGTTTGCGGACACACGCTGTAAGTGTCTCTGGCTTGCAGAGGAGCGGTGGGAGAAAGGCAGGAGGCTCCGCTGTTGGGGCTTGACGCCCCGAGTCTCAGCAGAAACTGAGGATGGGAAAGCCCGTTTCAAAAGCTAACACAGCCCTAGAACAGTGGTTCCCAACGCCCCACAGGGGGGCAATTTGATTTTTAATGGGGGCAGTTTGAACCTTGTTTAAACCAAGTTAATGGCCATTTTAGGCTTCCTCCGTGTGAGTAGAGTTCACTTTTTGAGTAAAGTAAGAATTATATGTGTGTGTTTGTGGGGGGGAATATCAGGATTTTAGAGATGCTTAGGTGGGGCATGGCCAAAAAAAGGTTGGGAACCACTGCTCTAGAAGATACAGTCCTACAGGCTGAGCACCTACTTTATTACCTAGAGATAATGGAGATAGGCTGCAGTGAGAAAAATGCAGTTTGCAGGTGTTTAAAGGTACCCTTGTTTACATGCTAGGAGATCAAGTACTAAACCCTAGATGAGTTTTAAACAATTCAGAGGATTTCAGAGGATCTCTATGCAATAAAAAAGATCGAAAGTTCTCCTGGTATTAAGTATATTTATTATTGTGATGGTGAGATGTTTGTGTTTTGTTTAAGGCCAGCCTGACTATATTCATTTTTTTGTTGGTGTATAAGTTGTAAGTGTAGCTGCATGTTGTACCAAACAGTTGAACATAATAATATTTTTACTGTGCTTCTCTTTAATCTACTCTGAATATTGTTTATGGTTTCTTTAGCAAAACACCCACTTTCCAGAGTGCTACTGTTTTTATGTAGGCATCATTTGAAGCCAAAGAAACGTGTGGCTGAAGATAGTTGCTGGTAGATAATTTCTAATAGGTGTCAAATACTTTTTGTTGCCTACTGGATTTGAAAGGAGACATTGGTTGTGGAGTCCTTAGTGCTTTCTGAGGTTGGTTGCTTGCTACTTACAGATATTACATTATTTGATCAGGTAACATCATCAGTGCTAGTGAGCATGGGATTTGCTGCCTGTTTATATACAGTAGCTTGCCCTGCCTTGTTAATGGAGGTGTGTTTTTCTCCTTGGTAGATCCTTGATTAGGATATTGTACTCTGCTTTACTGCTTGTCTTGTATTAATCCTTGCTTTCTGGGTATTGATTGCTAGGGAGCCTATAGCAATAGCACTTAGATTTATATACCGCTTCATAGTGCTTTACACCCCTCTCTAAGCGGTTTACAAGTCGGCATATTTCCCCCAACAATCTGGGTCCTCATTTTACCAACCTCGGAAGGATGGTCAACCTTGAGCCTGGTGAGATTTAATTTGCCAAACTGCTGGCAACCGGTGATCAGCAGAAGTAGCCTGCAGTACTGCACTCTAACCACTGCGCCACCGTGACTCAGATATGTTCTGACCCTTTTGTTTTCTTTTTAATTTTTTGTATTTTCTCTTTTGAATGGTGTGTAAATGTGATTTATATGAAGGATTGCATTTATTTTTCTGAAATTTGTATCAAGTCAAGTCAATGTTTATTACAATCAAATATGCCAAATTATAGCATCCCAGATAAATGGCTGTCCAGCCTCTACTTGAACTCATCCAGTGATAAGCCTTGAATGTTGTATTGTTACATTCTTGAGCCTTTGCTCCCAGCAAATATCACAGTCCATGACCTGATGAGTTTCATCAGTAAACATTTATTTCATTTCTAGATAGTAATATGTTACTAACGATCATGTCTGTCCACATTCTGATGGAGTATAATTTCATATTCTTTCCCTTTAGGGATCTATTTGTCTCCTATTCTGCATCCCTCCTTTTTATCTCTTAGATTCAGAATTGTCAGGGCCTGAAAACTCTTTCTGGGTTCCAGAAGTGCAGAATATCTTCTATGTTTCTTCACTCTGATTGTTACTCTAGGAGGGTTCCTTTTGCATCCACTGTCAGATTTATTAACTGAAAAAAACTTTGTTCTTTCTCAGAAGCTAATATAAGGCTGTTTTCAAGCTTGTTTATCCTTTTTATTATATTAAAAACTGTTGCAATAATTTTCAAAATGTAATTTTGAAAATATGACATGAGCTGTTAAAATTTTTCTATTCTGTATCTCTTTGCTACTAACTTGTGGTGAATCCATATTTTTGAAACACATAACCTGAATAGAGGGAAATTAATAAATCAGTTAAAGGTTTTTATGATGTTGAATGCATGCATGTATGGAGTTATTATTGAAGTGAGAAATTCTGCTCTCTACTAAGATTCTACAGTGATTGTTTTTGCTTTTATTTATGTAGTGTCTACATAATATTTTAAAAATGCAGAAGGACAGGTTCCTGTTCCAAGGAATAGGAGTAATAAAAGGAAAAACAACAACAGAGGAATAAAGTGGTTGACAAGGCTAAATAATTTCAGTTGCTTATGTTTAGGGTTTATTACAAAGACAATAGTTCATTGGTGAGCTAATTGCTCCTAGAGCTGGGAGGTTACTCTGCAAGGAGGAATCATAGGTCATTGGTAGACATGCTGTTATATAGAAAGACTCAAGTTTGATTCTTCCTGCTTTTATCTAAAAGGATCAAGGAGTAAATGATTAGGAAGATCTCTGCCTGATTCCTGGACTATTGTTGCCAATAAATATTGCTAGGCTAGATAAAGTAAAAGTAAATTTCTCCATCAGGGGCTGCTATGATTTATGAGGGTGGTAAGTTTTACTCTTCTTGATTGCTTGCTTACTTATTTATTCAGCCAATTTGTACTTTGTTTTTCAGTACAACTGAATATTAAAGGTATTGAAGATAAAAAATATCTTCAAATGCAAAGTACAAAAAATACAAAAGCATTTTAAATCCAGTGCTATAAAGATGAACAGGTAAAGATTGGGTGAAATAAATGTGTTTTGTCTGCTATTTTAGACGTAGAGAGATTGGTGTTAAATGCATCGCTGTAGGGATGCCTCTTATTTGCTTGACAAATGGTGTGTGTGTGTCTTCAAAAGGAGCTTTCCTGCATATATTAATCTTTTCTTGAGTGTAAGCATGCCTGCCATACTTTGAGAAAGGAAAAAACGTACTTCAGCTATATCCCTTGAAGGTCAAACACCCTGCCAGCAATAGCAGATGCAGCACTATTGTTTTCAGCAAAGCTGTATCAGCTGCAAATATGATCCAGAGAGAGGGATGCAGTTTTTATGATGTACAGTTTTAAAAATAGAAAATTGGATTATTTTTACATCCCCTTTAGCCCTCTATGGCTTCAGATTAGGAAAAGGATTTCACACTACAGTTATGTCTTAAATGCAAAATATATATTTTTGGCCCACTATAATAGTGGTGCTGCTGGCAGATACTTTTGCTGAGAGATCATCAAGGTCCGATTTTATTTTGACTGATGAACTTGGGTGAAATTTTGCAGCAGCAACTGATTAGGTTGAGATCTAAATTGGAATTTTTACTTCAAAAAAAGCCATCTTAGGGGCTTTTAAAGCTATATTTACTTATGCAACCTTATTAACTCCTCTGGAATCTCTGGAATAGTATACAAGTAGTCCTCACTTATGACTACAATTGGGACCAGAACTTCTGTTTTAACTTCATTTTCACACAAGTGTGCCTGATTTTACAACTATTTTTGCTGCACTTAGTAAGCAAATCACAGGGTTGTTAAGTGAATTTGGATTGTCCCATTGACTTTGCTTGTGGAAAGCCCCTTGGGAAGATTGTATATGGTGATGCTGTGGCTGTTGTAAATACATATTGCTTACCAAGTGCATGAATTTTGATGATGTGATTTAAAAGGGGACACCTTTTAAGTGTGAGGACTAGTCATTTTTCCGTGCCACTGTACAGTTGCTAAATGATTGGTCATAAATTGAGGATTACTTTGCAATTTTCTCACCCTCATAGTGTGTTCAGTAAAGGAATAGTGTACACAAAAGGGCTGCAACCTGTCATTATTAGGGAGAGCTGTTTATGAAACTTGAAGTTGGGTAAACATTGATGATTACTTAAAGGAGGTTTATTTGGTTTACGCTTTTTAAAAAGTAAAGTATAATTGAAACCAGTCTGAAACCTATGTAAAAGCCCATCCCAAAAGAAAGGTAGACTCTTGCATGCTGGACATAATGGAATTTTTCAGACACAATCTATTAAATCTGCTTGTTTGGACATAATGAGAGCAAGCTAGAATAGCAGAATTATTCATGTATTATTGTCTGACCGTTGAATATGGAATAACAAATGATAAAGAAAGATGGCAGCCAAAGTTCATCTGATAACAAATGTTTCAATTTATATTTTTAATTAAATTTATGGTATATGCCAGTGACTTTCCTGGTTTAGGACTAAAGAAGAAATGCTCTTTCTGAAAACACGAGCCCAGAAGTCAATATCTCCTTGAGTACACATTAGGGTATTGATAAAGGAGAATAGCTCAGGTTGAAATTAGGAATCCTTGGAGCTCTCTGAGCTTGGTTGTTTTCTTGCACAGTTTTCATTATGCAAACTGGGTTTCAAGAACAGTGCTCTGATGATGTTATCGAGTTTGGGTAATGAAACCTCTACAAGAAAACAACCAAGCTCAGAGAGCTCCAAGGATCCCTCACATTAAGGTATTCATATCCTTTTGTATTATGGTCATTGTAAAAAAAAAAAAACATTTAGATATATTTTGAGATTCCTAAGAATATGTGGTTATTTATAGATAAGCTTTTTTTCTCTAGTATTAGAATATGAAGCTACCTAATTCAAAGATAATTCAAAAGATACAAAGAAAATAATTTATTGTAATGTATATTAATATATAGAATTAGCTCTCACCAACTCTATTGATCTGATTCATCAAATTTTATTAGTAAAAATTGTTACCTTAGAAACTTAAGAGGCATACTTTCTTTGTTGCTGCACTTGCCCTCTTTAAAATGCCCTCGTATATGGAACTAAGCTTGTCCTTTTATGATAAAGACCTGACTTGTTCAATTGGCATTGGACTATGATAGTTTATGAGCCCACTAATAC